TTATCTCCTCTTACTCAGGGATGGAAGGTTCTCATCTATAGTTTCATTACATAGCTGCCTGTAAACATGACTGTGGATGCAGGAGGCCAGGGTAACTGGGCAAAATGCTGGCATCTAATTAAGCTCTAATTCTATTGTGTTGTGGGCCTAGATCTAGTAGGAAAGCATTTTTAAAGCTTCCTTCTTACAACCTCCTTTCCTAAGATTGAAATCTTTGAATGCTTAAATAGATATATAGTTAAGAATAAATGGAAAGTCCATGTAGACCCAGAATAGATCTCTAAAGTCACTTATGGACCCATTACAAAGACTCTACTCTTGGAAGACAACATACTTGGCGATGAGTGATCACCGATGATGACGATTTGGAAATAAATGTCCTTTCGACCTTCATGTTGGAGGGGAACCTCCTATTATGACTGCTTTGTTTACAATCAAGTTGCATGTACCTTTCAATGTCTCCATATATGTGCTAATTTTAAATTTTTAATCTTTTACATCTGGCCCGGCCATAGGTTTTTAAATTTTGTTATTGCCTATATGTGAGTTATATAAATTGTATTGTTTTATTTGCTTACTGCTTTGTTGTTTTACTGATGTGTTGTTGGGCTTGGCCTCATGTAAGCCGCCTCAAGTCCCCTTGGGGAGATGGTGGCGGGGTATAAATAAATTATTATTATTATTATTATTATTATTATTATTATTATTATTGTTATTATATTGCAAAATGGTGCGTTGTAGCTAGACTGAGTAATACTTCGCGCTTGTCTACTCTAACCAGGAAGCCTGAACTCATCTTAAATCTACTGCTGGCTCCCTCTACTCCTGGTGAGTATCCTGGATTTTCTGACTTTAACCTCACTTTGCCCCACATTAGGAAACATTGGGGGGATATTTAGGAATTTTACAGGAAATTGGAGTATCCCAGTGCTTTGCAGCAGTCTGGATTGTGTTCATTTCAACACAATCATTTTACCAGACACCATCACTCTTTCCTTGCATTGATTGGCACAGAGGAAGGGGATGGCTCATACTCATGTTGCCACTGCCACTCCCCACTTTCTATGGATCTACCTCCTCTTTCTTGCTAATCTCACAGGTGCCTGGCTCAGCAAATGGAAACAAAGTGGCCAGGTACTCACAGAGCTTCACTGGCCAACAGGGAGCAGTGGTGGCAACATAGATGGCATGTGATGGTCACAGTCCCAACCCAACTGCACTGTCTGGATATTGGTCCTAGATGCAGCTCAGAATGAGACTGCTCCAGGGCAGATATACACCAGAGTAACCTGCCCCATGTAGATGTAGCCTTAGGGTAAAACACTAAAGATAAAGGTAAAGGTTTCCCCTTGGCATTGAGTCTAGTCATGTCTGAATCTGAGGAGTGGTGCTCATCTCCATTTCTAAGCAGAAGAGCTGGTATTGTCCGTAGACACCCCCAAGGCCAAGTGGCCAGCATGACTGCATGGAAGGCCATTACCTTCCTGCAGAAGCAGTATCTACTGATCTACTCATGTTTGCATGTTTTCGAACTGCTAGGTTGGCAGAAGCTGGGCCTAACAGCGGGAGCTCACCCTGCTCCTCAGATTTGAACTGCCAACTTTTGGTCAGCAAGTTCAGCAGCTCAGCAGTTTAACCCACTGAGACATCATTGGGCCTCTAAGAACATTACTTTGAATAAAACTCACTTGTGGATACCTGAAATCTCAACAAGTGAGTGCTCAATATGATTATGTCTGAGTACTACCTGAAATATCAAACTTAATATAACATTTCCATAAATTATTTTAGTAAAATGTTTTAATATCTATGATGATACAAAATTTATTATTGTCTAATCATCATCATCATCGTCATCATCATCATCACTGCTTAGCCGGTATTGCACCACCTGACATCCGCCGGGAAGTAGCAGCCAATAGTGAAAGGACCAAGGCAGAGACATCTCCAGCTCATCCCCTGTTATGCCAGCACGTCAACGACTTAAATCAAGACATAGTTTTCTTAGATCTACAGAGACACTAGCTGGAACACCCCAGCAAGCGAGAGTCCAAAAGTGGCAGGCCCAAACCCAGCACCCCAATCCATGGGCGATACCAGATGAGGGACTCCCCCCTGGGCACACAGAAGACTGGGTGACTTGGAAGGCGCTGAACAGACTGCGCTCTGGCACCTCGAGATGCAGAGCCAATCTTAAGAAATGGGGCTACAGGGTGGAATCCTCGGCATGCGAGTGCGGAGAAGAACAAACCACTGAACACCTGCTGCAATGCACCCTGAGCCCTGCCACATGCACAATGGAGGACCTTTTTGCGGCAACACCAGAGGCACTCCAAGTGGCCAGATACTGGTCAAAGGACATTTAATCAGCTATCAAGTTTGCAAAATCTCTGTGGTTTTTTTCTTTTTCTTTTTAATCTGTGTGTTTGTTTTGTTCTGTTAGAATTGTAACACAATGGTATGGTTGCTGATGACACGATAAATAAATAATCATCGCCATCATCTTTATTTATATTCCACCCTATCTCCCCGAAGGGACTCGGGGCAGCTTCCAACAAAAAATGGCAAACAGTCAATGCTATAGCACATTAACACATAATACATTAAACAAAGACAAAATAAATAATCCTGCTTAATCTCAAAAGTAAAAAAAAAAAAGCCTTACTTGAGAAAAAAAGGGCCCAAACAACAAGTAACAGCATGAATGTCATTAGTTTCCCATTCTTTAATTATCCCCTGCCTGGGAAAATAGCAGCAGCAGCATCTTGTAAACAATAAAACACCAGTTTAATCCATTTACATGCATGGTTTTTGAAAATTTTGCCTTGGAAAGGGGAGATGAACTTTTGCTTTCCCAGGCTCAAATCTCTAGGGAATCCTCAAATTTTGTGATTGTTTTTTCCCCCCACTGGAAGTAAATATTCCCCTAAGAAACCATGAGGCATGACTTGGTCATGAAAAACAGTAAAATTGATTCATGGCCTTCTGCATAAAAGGAAATCCAGTATGGCGGGGGCTTGAAAACTATTGTACTGGTGACATGGCACTTCCCCTGAAATGTTCTGCTGCAAAGCAAACCAAAAAGAATTTCACTACGCCTATTTCAAGCTATCCTTTGAGGCAGGATGCCTTTAATCTCCGGGCAAAGTAGGACATGAGTGGGAGACTTGTGTTCTCCCAAGGGTTGCAGGTTCTTTATACAACTACAGCAAAGTGGCTCAAGGGATTGTGTTGGATATTCCACTGTGGGAACAGTTGGGTAACTCTTTCCTCATGCACTATTTCGCAATTAAACCCACCTATCTATTCTAATGCATCTATTTGCTGATAGAGATAATATATGAATATCTTATTCATACCTGTAAGTTTTACCCCATGAGACGGGAAACAATGGAAAAGAAAGAATTGTGATTGGAAAAGGGATTAAAAGATCCAGTTTCTCCTCCTTCAGCATGGCTGCTTTCAAAAAAAACCTGAGGTATTGACTCACAGATATTCTAAAAGTAGTTGTAGTTTGAACTCACAGTGAAAATGGAGAAGTAAAAAATAATAATAACATAATAACATAATAATAATAATAATAATAATAATAATAATAATAATAATCACAAAAATACTGTGGGACTTTCAAATCCCAGACTGACAAAGTTTTGGAACACAATACACCAGACATCACGATTATGGAAAAGAAAACGTTTGGATTATTGATGTCGCCATACCAGGTAACAGTTGCATTGAGGAAAAACAACAGGAAAAACTCAGCCAGATCCTCCCTACACGTTCCAGGCAAAGTCAGGGTCACATCTTCAGAGTTCATTAGAGGCTTGACTGTTTAACCCTTTCAGTGTCAATATACTCTCTGCTAAAGCAATCCGGTTACATTCACAGGCATTGCACAAAATTACATTTAAACATTCACATTACATTAATCTTATATGAACAAAAACAAGCTTGCTCCCTCTACCCTATGACTTCCCCTCAGATATTTATACATGGCCCTCATCATGTCTCCGCTCAGCCTTCGCTTCTGTAGGCTAAACATGGCCAGCTCTTTAAGCCGCTCCTAAATTCATTCTCATAATGCTTGTGCTGCTAATCCTCATGCACCATCACTTTACAGTGAAATAAGTCATTTAAACTGAAGTGATTCACCATACTGAGAAGTCTAGCAAAAACAACACCTCCTCCTCGTATCTTGACCAGAAGGAACTGATAAGGCTTTTAATGTCATGGCATTTTCACCAAGTTATTATCTACAACCCTATTTAGAATTGCTCTGTGTGTTTGCTTCTTTTGAATCACATCATCTGCAGTGCTAGCCAAAGGCTATGTCAAACAGTTTAAATATATACAAAGCATACAAGATACAAAACATACAAATACCACCCAATGATTCTAGGAAGAGTAACAAGCTTATATAAAGACTACCAACAATTCAAAACTATAGTTCAATTTCTAAGCTACCAAGAAGAAAACCAAATTAATTCTTGGTATCTCCAGGAACAATTTTAACTTTCTCTTCCTAATCTATTTTGCAGCCAAAGCAAAAAAGGCTGCTATGTGTGTTGCATAACCACTGATACTGATAAAAAGAAATTGTGAAAGTTCTACAAGAGCGTTCTCACTTCCATACATTTTCCAAGGTTTCTAAAATATCTCTCTTGGGTCGCTATACAAGGGACATTTAGCATGTAGCAGACAATGTCTTCCACCCAACATTGGCCAGAAATTGTGTTGTTGGTTTCTTAAAATAAATAAATAAATAAACAGCACCTTAAGATATGTCTAGAAATGCAACTGGCATTGCTTTTAATCACAGTTTGGCCCTTTTCTTTGTATTCTGAGTTGATCATAATTGTGCAAGAACCATGAACTGAAAACACTTTCTTCAGCAAATTGTTTGCACAGTTGAAAACACATTTAACAAAACAGAAAACAACATGCAATATATTGGGTGGAGGGAGGTATGTTATAAGTAACTACCATCATAAATCACTTACCCAACTGGCATCCGACATTCCAGAACTCCTGAGGATTATAATTGGAGGAGGTGGTTCGTGTTCCCTTGGGGTATATTCTTGTAAGAAATCGGGATGTATGTTGAATAAATTCATCGGCTACAAAAAGACATTTTCAAATCATGTTACTGATTTCTGTTGTTACAGGCCTTGAAGTGATCCTATCAAACTTGCCACTGTGTTCCTTTAAGGCCATGAGGGTATGATGCCCCCAAGGTCACACAGTGTACCTGTCTGAACGTATCTCCTTCTACATCCCACCTAGGAATTTAAGATCTTCTGGAGAGGCCCTGCTCTCGGCCCCGCCCCTGTCACAAACGCAGCTGATGGGGACGAGGGACTGGGCCTTCTTGGTGGTAGCCCCCGTCTGTGGAATTCACTCCCCGGGGGACTTAGGTCATCTTCATCCCTCCTCTACTTTAGAAAGAAATTAAAAATGTGGATATGGGACCAGGCCTTTGAGTAATCTTGCAGATGTGACAAGGACAATGATGACAATAGCCATTGAAACAGATTATGGACAAGCTGAATGGAGTCTCTAATTACAGAACTCAGTGAGACAACAGCCACCAGACTGCTTCTCTTGTCTAGTAGATTTTATTGTATTAATTCAATGTTTTTAACTATTTATAATTACTATTTTAGATGTGAAATTTATTGTGTTTAATTGTAGGCATTGAATATGTGCCATCTGGAAGCCGCCTGAGTCCCCGTCCCCCCCCCCCCCGGCGGGGGGGGGGGGGTTGAGAAAGGCAGAGTAAAAATATCTGAAATAAATAAATAAATAAATAATTTTCATGGTTGAGTAGGGATTTGAATTCTGTTACTGAAATCTGTGATTGATACAAACATGAAAATAATGTATCTGATTGAAGACAAGTGTCTGGATGCATGAACTAAGGATGTTTTAAATTAGTGGTTCCCATCCTTTTTCTGACCAGGAACCTCTTGATCAGGGACCATTTTGACCAGGAACCGCTCTCCAACATTATTATCAAAATGGCTATGAATCAGTTTTTGGTCAACTTTAGATTTGGTTTGGTTATTTTGGGTGCTGATTCAGAAAATTGCATTGGATTGACCACATCAGCTCTAGTTTCTGATACAGAACAGTAGTCACCATCTGCTCGCCCACAGAAAACCATATTTAATAATTTAGAGCCGATGTGGTCTATCCAATGCATTTTTCTGAATCAGTACCCCAAATAACCCCAGGAACAGGCCTAAAAATGAAGACATCAAGGTGCCCCCACATCCAGATGCCACATGGAACGGCTCTGCTCAGGGGAAGGGAAGAGGAGAAGGAACAGTAGTCAGAAGGCTTGTTGTTGTGCTTTTTGTGGGTAGTCAGCCTCTCCTATCCCAATATTCCCATTTCCTCAGCACTATAAGAGGATTTCACGAGACTAGTCACTCTTGCTGCAACAGTGTAATAACGGTGAGTCCACGGACCATATTTTAGTTCTTGGGGACCACTGGTGGTCTATGAACCACAGGTTGGGAACCACTGTTTTAAATAATCTGATGCCTGTCAGTAACAAAATCAAGGAAACACATAATGTGTCTTTTCTATCTGTGGGCTTCTGATTTAACCAAGTAGGGATTCAAATATGCAACACAATGTACAACACAATTAGAGTAGTACAGGCATGTAGCCGGGGGGGGGGGGGGGGGGGGGGGGGCTCGAGGGGCTTCAGCCCCCCCCCCCAAATTCTCATGGTGGTTCGCGAAAAGGCCTTACTGGTGCATTATTTAAACTGTTATGTTTATTCATATCATGATCTGATCACCATACTCAATATATCCCATATGCATGGGGGTATTGGGGTAATGATACAAAAGGTTTGCTAGGCTAGACCCTCTTTCACTCAGACTCAGCCCCCCCCCCCCGAAACTCAGCCCCCCCCGAACCCCCCCCTGAAAAAAATTCACCCCCCCCCCCGAAAAGAAATCCTGGCTACGGGCCTGGAGTAGTATATACTGTATTTTTGATTCTGGAGAGGTCAGAGGGAAATGCAAGTTTGGAGAGAGATATGAATGGACAGAGACTAAGGATCTGTGTTAACTGTAGGCGCTTGGTGCAAATATGTGATTCCTACCATTTCATTCACAGATGCTTCCATCTTTCTCTAACCTCATGACTGACAGTAGAAATAGTATATATGGATCAAAAGTTGACCACGGGACTATTACTTTAATCATCTTCTCTGGTTTGGTAGTTCTTACAATCAAAGCTATCCCTGATTAAACTGAATTTTATATAGTTTGCATTTTGAAAACCTTGAAATACAATATCAATTAGAAATATACACAAGGCATTTTATCTCAGATTGGCAATGGGTAGACAATGCCAAAAACAAATTAGTTGGATGCAAAGTTGTTGTGAGGAGCAGAAAGGGAAAGTCAATTTCATAGTCTGAACTAATTTCAGCTATATTTAAACTTGGCTCAAGAATAAAGCAAAGTTAGTTGCTTTTGTTTTAAAGTGAACTTCCCTTTATTTACTTTCAATGTATCCTATACTACTCAGTATATGAAAAATGCACTCATTAGCAACCCATTAACACAAACCTTTAGCCACAGAACTCGTGGTAAGTGCTGAATCAACAACTGAAACATTTACCACCTGCCACACTCATAACAACCTGCCTCATAAAGTTTACTGGCAGTTCTGATGACTTAAGCAAGGGAAAATAGCAACATGTTCTCCATTACCTGACTGAATTCCAAAGAATTACCTTGCAGTTTTTCCAGTTTTCGGGCTTTTGCCTCTCCGATTGAATTATTTTCATAAAAAAGTTGCTTTTCTCTAGAGTCTTCAAAGCTTACAAACTTTCGAGATTTAGCATAAATCACAAGGTCGGACAGTGCCAGAGCCATCTTTATTTTCTTCATCTAGAAAAAATATGAAAGACTACTGAAAAGATTTTGAATTAGCTTACAAATCAGTAACAGGAGCATTGTCTATGTCTAGCTAAGACTCTCATGGGGAAAGACCTGGAAACCATGACCTAGGAAGAGTGAATTAGGGCTCTGGATATGATAGCCATGTATAAGTATGTGAGAGGAAGTCATAGGGAGGAGGGAGCAAGCTTGTTTTCTGCTGCCCTGGAGACTAGAACAATGGCTTCAAACTACAAGAAAGGAGATTCCATCTGAACATGAAGAAGCACTTTCTGACTGTGAGAGCTGTTCAGCAGTGGAACTCTCTGCCCTGGAGTGGGATGGAGGTTCCTTCTTCGGAGGCTTTTAAACAGAGGCTGGATGGCCATTTGTCAGGGATGCTTTGAATGCAATTTTCCTGCTTCTTGACAGAGGGTTGGACTGGATGGCCCACGAGGTCTCTTCCAACTCTGATTCTATATGTTTAGCCTGCTGAAGTGAAGCTTAAGAGTTGACATGAGAGCCCTGTCTAAATATCTGAAAGGATGTCATATTGTTTTCTGGTACTCCAGACACTAAGACCCAGAGTGAGGGATTCAAGCTACAGAAAAAGAGCATTAAGAGAAACTGTCTGATGGCATGAGTGGTTTAACAGTGAAATATGCTGCCTTGGAGTGTGGTGGAGTTTCTTTATGTGAAGGTTTTTAAACTTAGGCTGGATGGCCATATGTATTTTGACTGTGTATTCCTGCATGAATCAGAGAAACTCTTCCAATGCAAGTTTCTATTATTCTTCTGATGGAGAGTGACGACTGCTACTTATTTTACTTCTAAGTAGAGCACATGGAAAGGCTGTTGTAATATCTTACTCAAATAATAGTTTCGGGTTCTCATGACCATGAATGAAAAAGAAATCCTGAATAATTCACCAACTGTTGTCAACTATTCAAAGCTTGGCACATGTACTTTTTGAGTCCTGTGAAACCTGTTCCAATTTCAGTGTAAACTCTGTGAAACCCCAGTGGACAGCTGTGCAGACTGTATTAGGAGCAGAACTAAGACAACTGAAAAAATCCTGCACAGAGAACAAAGAAGCAAATAGAGCAGCTAGAACGAATAATAAGCAGAACTTGAATCAACAACTGTTTTTAATCATGTTTCATCTTTCCTTTGATTCAAATCCCCCAGAAGAATAGGCATGGGTCACCCCTGTTTAATTCTCAAAAGTGTTGTGGCTCAAGAAAGAGGGATCTTTGCTTGAGACCTTGTTTTTCCCTTAGTTTCTCATCAGAGAAGACCTCCAACAGCTATGGAGAGAATGAGGACCTAGTTCCTTGACACCCAGTTCAGCTACAAAGCAACCCTGAGGCAGGTATCCATTGAGGAAGAGCCCTGGGAGATATTAAAGTCAGCATTCTCTGGCTACAGAGAGGTAGATCTAGTCATTTAAGGTCTTGCTAAGAACAGCCAGTAACCTAGGAAAATTGCCATCCATTACATAACCCAGAAAAAACTGCCATCCAGTATAGCCTAGGGATTCACAGGAAGAGCAGCACTCTCAAACCAGTACTGTGGGCATGGGGAAAAGTGGTGTAGCTGGTTGGGAGTCAGCTGCATTAAGAGCACTACTGACCGAAAGGTCATGAGTTCGAAGCCGGCCCAGGTCAGAGTGAGCTTCTGATCATTGTGTGTAGCTTGCTGTCGACCTTTACAGCCCCAAAGACAGTTGCATCTGTCATGTAGGAAATTTAGGTACTGCTTATGCAAGGAGGCTACTTTAACTAATTTACAACAACATAAAATCTCCAGCAAGCAAGCAAATAATGAGGAAGTACTCCATCAGTGTCTCAAATGGACGGTGAAGCAACAGCTCCCCTGGTGGCCAGAATACCCTCATGGAAGCTTGAAAGTTAAATAGCCTTTGTGTGTCTGTCTATATATGTTGTGTGTCTATGGCATTGAATGTTTGCCATGTATATGTACATTGTAATCCACCCTGAGTCCCCTGCGGGGTGAGAAGGGTGGAATATAAATACTGTAAATAAATAAAAATTATTCTCCACATCATGAGGAGACAGGAAAGCTTAGAGAAGACAATTATGCTGGAGAAAGTGGAAGGAAAAAGGAAGAGGGTCCAACCAAGGGCAAGATGGATGGATGGGATCCTTGAAGTGACTGGATTGACCTTGAAGGAGCTGGGGGTGGTGACGACCGACAGGGAGCTCTGGCGTGGGCTGGTCCATGAGGTCATGAAGAGTTGGAAACAACTGAACGAATAAACAACAAAAATAAATAAATAAATATGAATAAATAAATAAATAAAATGTGCAAGTTCCTTTGTTTCCAGAACATATTCCTATCACGGAGGTTGGTTTTCATAGCAGAGATATGTGACCCTCCTTCCCTTCTTCTGCCAGGCATCCTCACAAAGAGGGAAGGATGCAAAAGGACTGCAGCCAAAAAAGAAAGAAAGGCCCCACAGAATGACAGATCAAACTCACTTGTTGCTTTTTTCGAGGTGAGCCTGGACCTTTCCAACGTGATTGTCTTTTCTTAAGCAGGGGCTGCTTGGGGTGGACAGGGACATCATCTTCCTCCTCCCCTTCATCACTTGATTCCTCCTCTTCAAATTCTCCTGTCTGACCATGGCTGTCAGTGCCCCTCCTTGCAAGTGTTTCTTCAAGTGTTCCAAGTTTCTTATTTTTTATCACTATTTTGAATTTCAGCGCCTTGGGAAATAAATGTGATAGTGTTAAGTATCATGAATCACATAAACTATATGTTGAAAGATTGCTTCAAGAACAGCGAAACCTAAACACTAAACAGGATGGGGACATCCAGTCTCCAGTAGAATTATTCTACACCAGGGCTGCTCTGCCTGACAGAACAAAGTTCTTTACGACATTACTTGTTCATCCTGTATCAAGAGACTAATAATGTTGTCCAGCTAGAAGTCTCCTATATTGGTGAACTATGTTCCTTAGTTACATGATAATCCCTTGAATTAATAGGTTTGGCTCTATTTCAGCGGTATAGAATCTCAGAATAGAATCAGAGGGAGAATCTACACTGACTTGTAATCCCAGGGCTGATCTGCCATAGCGTACACTGGATCAGAGTTGATCCAAGGACCCTTTGGATTAAGTAGTCAGTGAAGATGTGCCCATAGAAGTTGGAAGAGACCACAAGGGTCATCCCGTCCAACCCCCTGCCATGAATCAAAGCATGAATCTATATGTGGGGGTTTATATAAATTGATGCATTTAACTTGGCATACAAAAGTCTGCAAATCTCTTGGGGAAACAAGTGGACAAATGTCAGCGTGCTAGAAGAAGCAAAGACCACCAGCATTGAAGCGATGGTCCTCCGCCATAAATTCTGCTGGACCGACCACGTGGTCCGGATGCCCGACCACCGTCTCCCAAAGCAGTTGCTCTACTCTGAACTCAAGAACAGAAAATGGAATGTTGGAGGACAGGAAAAGAGATTTAAAGATGGGCTCAAAGCCAAACTTATAACTCTGGCATAGACGCTGAGAACTGGGAATCCCTGGCCCTTGAGCGCTCCAGCTGGAGGTCAGCTGTGACCAGCAGTGCTGTAGAATTTGAAGAGGCATGAATGGAGAGCAAAAGAGAGAAACGTGCCAAGAAGAAGGCACGTCAACCGGGACCACCTTCCACCTGGAAACCAATGCCCTCACTGCTGGAGAAGATGCAGATCAAGAATAGGGCTACACAGCCACCTACAAACCCACCGCCAGTACACCGATCTAGGAAGACAATCCTACTCGGACAATGAGGGATTGCCTAAGTAAGTAAGTAAGTACAAAAAGTCTGCTGCATAAAAGAGAAAGAGACCACAACCAATATAGCACACGATTTATCATTATTTATTGTATTGATATGAAAGATTATTGTAATCATTCAATGCTTATAAATTGTCCAGCTTTCTAAAATTAAAACTGCACTACATTACAGTACAGAGATCTAAAAACACAATGGCAAACACTTATTTATTTATTTATTTATTTATTTACAACATTTCTACCCTGCCTTTCTCCATCCCAGAGGGAACTCAAGGCGGCTTACACTTAGGCAACTATTCAATGCCTTCCAAAACAATGTACAGTTAAAATAAACACTTAAATAGAATTATAAAATATATTAAAACATTTAGCCTTCACTGTTAACCATGTTATCCAAAGTTATAGTCTGGGCCATTCCAATAGTCATTGAATATAATTCCAATTTTAGATATTGCATAGGATCTTCAAAGGCTTGATCAAAAAGCCATGCTTTTACTTTCCTATGGAAGGTCAGGAAGGAGGAGGCTAATCTAATATCCCTAAGGAAGGAATTCCACAGCTGAGGGGCCACCACTGAGAAGGCCCTGTTTCTCCTCCCTGCCAGTCGAACTTGAAAAGGAGGCGGGACCAAGAGCAGGGTCTCTTCAGATGATCTTCAGCTCCAATATGGTTCATAGGGAGAGATCCGTTTGGACAGATAAGCTGAGTAATCACAATGATACAATAAAGAGCCAACTTCAAAAAATACAGTAAAAATTGAGTTAAAACCAGGTAAGAATAAGTCAATAATTAAAAATATGACCATATCCTAAAATATGCTAAACACTGTGTTTCAATTTAAATGACTTTTGCATGAGACAAATTTCCTTGGGAAAGTGAAGCCATCACCAAGAAAGTCCTTTCTCCACCCTGCAGGCTTCAAGAATGGTAGGGCATTCAGAATGGCATCTTCACAAGTGCCCTTAGTAAACCCAGAGTACACCCACACTGCTCTTTTGCAACAGCTTAATCCAACTTTAAATGTCATGGCTCCATCTTTCAGAAATCTTGGGATATGTTATTTGTTGAGCTGCTTGCAATTTCCTTCTAGATGACTCACATTTATACCTTGTGGAATTGTAGCACAAGAGGGACTTCTAAGAACCCAGTGGTATCAACTGTCATTTAAATCAACAGGACCAGCATTCAGCACAGTTTAAACGTGCAAGTCTGGCAGTTTTATTTATATGGGTTAAAAGAGCTATTTCTTTCAGCTACTGTGTGCCATTAAAATCTACACGGGAGTACAATGTAAGAATTTTTATGAATAGAATTTAATCATACAGATGCTCAGCATACTGCTTTTAACTGCAAAAAGGAGTACAAATGAATGAATAGAGAATTATAGATATAAAACTAAGCTCCTGGGAAATAATGCCATCTTATATGTACTGCTCAAGTTCAGGTGGAAAGAGATATGTGTAACTCTAAATGCACTGTATTACTCAAGACATTCGTGTAAATTGATTTGCTATGTATGAGGAGTTGGGAAGGAGGGAATTCCAGTCATTGTAGATTAAAGTTATCTGCCCCCTCCTGCTCTCCCTTTTTCTCTTTGGTTAGAGGAGCAGAACTGGTGCTTTTCTCTTTGTTTCTTATTTCATACCTCATCCAAAACCAAATTTCATCAAAAATTTGACAATTTTTTTTTGTCAAAGATGTACACTGATATGATCAATTTGAATTAGAGTTATCTGTATGCCTAGACTTGAACGAACCTCTGGCACATAACCTCTAATGAAAAAAAAAAATGCCTCAAACAGGCATTCTCAGGGTAAAACCTTTATCAGGCAAGCCTACAGTTACTGTGGGCAGCAACACAATTCCCAGCAGTTCCAAATAATTATTCTTCAGACAACTTTAGAAGCAGATTTTGCATTGCTATGGTAATGGACAAAATGTGGCTCACGTACGCCTTGATTAACTACTGCAATGCACAAAACAATTTACACTGGAGCAGTAATACTCTGGACTTGCCTCAGAAGTGGTCGTATATTCCGTGCCTGATCTGCAGCGGTGAGGGGGAACCCACACAGTCCAGCCGGGCTGAAACTGGTTTGCCCTCCTGGATTGTCATATAATCTTCCCCATCACCACTGCCATTGCTATATGGTTCCTGATCTCCAGGAAAGCTCCTGGTCATTACAGGCACCCTGTGCTGAGATCAACAAACGTGTATGCATAACCAGAGAGGAGAAGGAGACCCATTCTTTCCCCTGCACTTGTAAGCATTGGGAAAAGTGTGGTTAGTGGGGACAAGAGACAGGGCCTTCTCAGTGGCGGCCCCTCAGCTGTGGAACTCCCTCTCTAGTGATATTTGATCAGCCCTCCTGGCCTTCAAAAAAAACCTAAAAACGAGTTGTGGGACCAAGCATTTGGATAACAATCTTTTGGTGCAATAAGGGAATATGGCATAGTGCAAAGACAATTGGAACAGCCTTGGACTAGGATATTGGTTTTAATGTTTCATATGCTTTTAGTGGTTGGTTTGTAATGTATAGGTTTATTTTGTTGGATGTATGTTTTGTATAGCATCGAACTGTTGCCTATACATACGTGAGTCCCCTTCGGGGTGAGAAGGATAGGATGATAATAATAACAGTCGCATTGAGGAAAAACAAGAAAAATTCAGCTTTTATCAAGATCTCAAAATTGAATTGCAAAGGCTCTGGCATTAACTAGTACAGGTGGTCCCAGTGGTGATTGGCACACTGGATGCTGTGCCGAAAGATCTCAGCCGGCATTTGGAAACAATAAACATTGAAAAAATTATGATCTGTCAACTGCAAAAGGCCACCTTACTTGGATCTGCATGTATCATTCAAAAATACATCATATAGTCCCAGACGCTTGGGAAGTGTTCGACTTGTGATTTTGTGATACGAAATCCAGCATATAGATCTTGTTTGCTGTGACATACTGTGTTTTTGTGTCAGTAAAATAATAGTAATAATAATAATAATAAGAAGAAGAACAAGAACAAGAAGAAGGTGGCAGTGATCCATGTGGAAAGTAGACCAGTCCACATCAGACCTAGTCATGCTGTCCACACTGTTCCCAAAGTGCAGAACTGCTACAGAAATTGGCCTAAACTTCAGAACAGTTCCTAATATTCCTTAGTTTGAGGGTTAAACCACTTTAATCAGGTTTATCCCACAAAAAGAACCAAACGTCCCTGAACATCTTGGAGACATCCAAAGGCAACTTCTTGACATCTCTGGGTTTTTGGGCTCGTGCAGACAAGCCCTGGGAAAGTAAGACAACAAGGGATTAATTGTTACTATTCCTGTTAAACTGTGACAGCTGGAAGATATGTATTTTCTGGTGTTGCAGTTCTGAAGTAGAAACAAATAATTAAAACTGCATGTATTATATTGCCATGTTTCTAGTATACTATATAATCATTATATGGTAGAAAGTTATCTTACTTTAAGTGTTTTACACATACTTTTCCTTCTTAGGGACTTACCTAACAACAAATACTAGTTTGTGGTACAATAACTCTAAACTGAGAAGAATGCATGCCACATGCAATGTGTGGAGTGGAATGATAAATATCCAAGGAAAAAACCATGCCAACCACAACAGTGTCTTCCCAATTATCTTTTACAAGAAAGGACCTTATTGTTGTTACCTCAGGAGAGGGCAACTCGGTTGGCACCTTATCATCAATTGTAGATGCAACCAACTTGTCACCTAGGATACTTGTCAGATAATCTGCAATTACTTCCTGCTGTTTAGGGCTGCAGTGATTTTCCAAAGACAGGAGCAGAGGGTAATCAGAGACCTGAAAATACAATTCAAAGCAATTAGGATTCCTTGTTTCACAAGTAAAAAAAACATATAAAATTAGAAAAAGATTTGAAGAGGTATACGATGTTATCCATAATAAAGCTATTAATAACAACATCATCATTGTTGCTTCTGAACACGCAAGTCACAGTGCTCCTGAATCCCTGCCTTTCCACTATAAGACCAAATTTAAAATAGCAATACATTCTCCAACTAGAGATATCTAGTTGGTACAGAGGACGGTTGCCCAGGTGGTGGCAGGTGCATCAAGGACCAAACATGATGCTAAGGTTACTGGATCGCAGGGCCTGGCTCTGGATTTCCAGCTTTAATGGGCCATAACCAGGCATGAAACATGAGTGAAAATTCTCCAGTTTTGGTGGGCTCCACTACATGCAAAAGGAAAGGTAAAAGGTAAAGTTAAAGGTTTCCCTTGACATTAAGTCTAGTCAAGTCCAAATCTGGGGGGTGGTGTTTATTTACATTTCTAAGTCGAAGAACCAGCATTGTCCATAGATGCCTCCTAGGTCATGTGGTTCGCATGACTGCATGGAGCGCCATTACCTTCCTGTCAAAGCAGTACCTATTGATCTACTCACATTTGCATGTTTTCAAACTGCTAGGTTGGCAGAAGCTGGGGCAAACAGTGGGAGCTCGCCCTGTTCTGTGGATTCAAACTGTTGACCTTCCAGGAAGCAAGTTGTGCAGCTTAGCAGTTTAACCCGCTGCACAATCAAAGCCCAAAGGAAAGGACTCTGCGTAAATTCCCAGTTCAATTGGTAGAGCAGAAATTTACTGTATTTTCAAGGACTGATTTGTTGCTGATACTTGCAAAAAAGTCTCCATATTTATTTCACTGACTTCTTCCTTTTCTCCAAGTTATTTTACTGCCAGGGCTTACCCTCTGTCTCGCATCCATCTTCTGGCTAAAAACAAGTAGGTTAGGTTAAATATTCCTTATCCTATCTCACGAAATAAGTGAGAGAGAATAACCCTCTCATTTCAACGTGATCTGGGGCTCTCTTTGAAATAAGAAAATGGTATCCCCCTCCCCCCACACTTCAAATGATTGAACAATATCTGATCAACCGTGGTTGGTATTTAAAGCCTAACAGGGAATGAAGTTGAACAGGTCAAGTTTGTTAGGTTTTGACTTTGAATCCCCAAAGTCTGAGACAATCCTGAACTAGCAACTCTATATGACTCCCATTCTGAAATTATTGCATTAACTACCAATGAAGCCTCAGCACCAGTTGAAGAGACTTAAGACCCAGAGACAACATATATGTGATTTAAGATTAGCTAGGAAAGCTCAGGCAGCAGTGCATGGCAGCTGATTATTAGCCTTAAGGGCCACAACAACGGAGAGACCTTCTCAATGGTGATATCCTACTTTATTCTGTCAGAAAGTTAGTCAATCTTCACACTGTCATCTTTCAGGCTGCAATACCTGTTAAACACATTCAAGTCTGTGGAAGCTTTGTGGAAATAATGCAATGGATTAATTTATCTCTGGTGTTGGTATAGCTTTGATGTTGTTATAGAAAATATTCGTAATTTATCTTTTCAGATAGTTTTGTGTTTTTTAAACTTGTTGTTTTAGATAACTGTAATATATCCATAGTTTTGCCATAAGACCAATGGCCCTCAATTTTTATGAGGGAGGGCAGGTTATAAATCAAATAGATATAAATATATAGGTAGCTATAGCTTTTTCTTTGTTACTTTTGCACTTCTCTGCATCCCCTATTGACACTGATAGATAGAGCATAGACCTGCAAGTAAGAAAGAAACAACCCGTTCTTCCTCCTTCCCTCTTTCATTCTTAATATTCTTGCACCAGAGGGCTGAAGAAGAGTAAAGAAAGGAATATATATATTTGTGCAAATAGTACTATTCTGTGATTTATGCAATGGAAGGGAGGTTTTTTTATTCTATATAAAAAGGAGTGGAAGAGCAGCCCTAAGGGAAAGAGACTGCCGAATTCTTGGCTCTGCTACATTTTCTCAACAAGGGAGAAAAGAACAGAGGAAAGAAAACATTTTAGCCTGACGGAATCCCATTCTCTATGAAGTAGTGAGAGCCACAGCAGAAAGAAGGGGAAGCTATTCCCACTACTACCAGAGACCTTTTAAAAAGAGAAAGAAAGGTCATTTGGGGAAAGGGCTGCAGCCTAGGGGTAATTGTTTCATTAGAATTTCCATGTAACTTCCCAAATGGTTTGTAGACAATGAGAGAAACTGTGCCATCGTCTATCTTTTTATTTGAACAAGCATGGAGAGTTTGTAGCAATCAGATGAGTGCAGAAAACATCTTTGTTTCTCCAGTAATGGGTAGAAACAGAAAGAGGAATTGTCGAAGGCTTTCATGGCCAGAATCACTGGGTTGTTGTAGGTTTTTCCGGGCTATATGGCCATGTTCTGGAGGCAATTTTTCTCCTGACGTTTCGCCTGCATCTATGGCAAGCATCCTCCTTGAGGATGCTTGCCACAGATGCAGGCGAAACGTCAGGAGAAAAATTGCCTCCAGAACATGGCCATATATCCCGGAAAAACCTACAACAACCCAGAAAGAGGAATGTTGCAGAAGGTTCTAGCATTTATAATGGTAGTTCTTCGATGGTTGGTTTTGTTTTGATATCCAAATTACATTTTTGCTATCCCAGACTATTTGATGGCAATTCCCACCTTCAGCTGCAACTTTTCATTCCATTGTTCTGTTTCTTTAAATTTTTTAAAAAAACTCCCAAGATCATGTGGGCATTGATTGTTGAGGCTTACAAAACGTTCATTTATATTGTGATATAGGTTGTGGTGTTTGGATGTCAGACAGTGTCAAGATGGATAGTGGAAAATGTTAATGTAATTCACTTCTCTTCATTCTCTTCTCTATATTTTCCAAAAAGATCTTACATATATAATATCATACTGCATCAGTGAAAAAGTAAAATAGCAATTTTGCGCTATTTTCCTTACATACGGATCCTATGCAATTCTATGAAAAGCAACAAGAAAAGTGAAAAGCACAGGAACACACTCTAAAATTAGAGAAACATGGTGATGCACTTCAAGGCTGGGAACCACCTCTGTACTTAACACATGCCAGTCCAAGGTAAAATAGCGAAGCAGTTTATTGAAGAATATATATGAAAAGCAATTCAGCAGAAAGTATTTAAAAAAACTAAATATTAAGAATAATCCACAGAAATCAGTACAGGAGTAGCATCAAAAACCAGGAATACAAAAACAGGAAAAAAACCAAAACAAGAGATTCAGGAACAGTCCTCAAAACTTAGAAACATGAAACATAAACAAAAGGAAACATGGAACATGAAATCAGAAATCCCATGACTTGACAGTAGTTCTATACTCAAACACCAGTGTTGCCTGGACTGACAGACTCATCTGCTAAGCTGGCTAATATAGAGAGAAATCCTTGGCTAAAAAGTGACCAATATCGTCAACAATATCTTCAAGACCTAACGTCAGCGGTCCTGAGGAAAGCATTTACAGCCTTGCGATTCCAAACAATGCCATCAAACTGGCTAGAGGGAAGATACAGAGGGATCCCCCATGCCCAACGACTTTGCATTTGTGGCACAGGGGAAATAGAAGACCTAACACACTATTTGCTACGTTGCCCCTTGTGCAATGACCCTAGGAAAAATCTCCTACGATCACTCTTGGAAGAAAGGGCATCATGGCAACAATCTGCGGTGATCTGCGACTTGCTAGCAGATCATTCTAAAAGTATAACACTAAAGGTTGCCACATTCGCAATCGCAGCCCAAAAGATCAGAGCCAAAGTAGCAAAATCCATACTGGGGGTCAGAAATGGAAACGGTTTGGAATGACACAGAGCAGACACTGTTATTGTCATGTTTCTGCTTTTATGATTTTAAAGAATTTGTTTTAGTTTTAATTCGTGTTACGTTTTAAGGTTTATATTGGAAAGTGTTTATAAAGTTAGTATATTACTGATGTCATGGCCTATGGCTAGTACAATAAACAATTCATTCATTCATTCAATATAGAGAGAAAATCACGCCTTTTCCCCTTAGAAACCGATAAGGACTTCTTGGTGTTTTGACCTTATTTATTTATTTATTTACAGCATTTTTACCCCACCCTTCTCAACCCCCGAGAGGGGACTCAAGAGCAGCTAACTCTCCCGAGAAGCTCTATGCTGATGGAACATAAATCTTCTATCTAACTGCTCATTAGTCTGTTCAGTTGGACTTTTCATCCTCTGAATTCCGATCTGTTTTAGACCTTGCTTCCCTAGTGAACTGCCTTTCAGGAATATGGCCTTCAGTCACAGGCCACTCATTTTCAGGGCTTGAAATCTCTTGCTTGCTCTCCTGGTGACATGCAGACCCAGAATCCCCAGTTTCATCAGAATGAATAACAGGCACAGAATCCCCAGAGAGATCAGGTGTGGGCATAATCAATGGCTGAACTACAACACATGGCCCCAGTTTTTACAAAGCTTTCTAGCAAGAATCAAGGTGATCACTAGCATCAAGCAGTTCCCCAGAATGAACAGAAACAACCCCTTTGGCAGAAACTGAATAGATGCAGAGGTGAGAACAAAAGGCATTATCGGGGGAAAAACAAAGCTGCCTTACTTTGAGACCTCATACTTCTTAATGGACCTCATCACATGGATGAGGTCCAGCATTACGATTCACCAGTCTCCATGGCAAATCAGGGTGGCATTGTTGCAATCCTGGTGCCCTGGCTGGCAGCTGATGCTTTCCTATCACGCATGGGGAAGCGCCATTCAGCTTAATCCCGTGGTAGCTCCACTGTTCCCAATCAAACACAGTGAGGCTACCGTTTTGATAGAATAGCATCTTACCATGCTGCCACCTCAGTTCACCAATGGAGCCCAGTCAGAAGTCAACCTACATCATATGATGGGCAGCATAGGGTTCAGGGAGTGAACTGGGTCAGAAGCGTCCTAGGACACTTATTTTTTTCATATGTGATGAGGTCATAGATCACCCTAAAAGAGTTTCTTGGCCTTTATTTGGTTCAAAAATTTAGTCCCAGGTCTTCCTGTTATAATCAACTGAAGAGGTCTGAAATGGCATAAAACACTTCTTTCCAAGCTCTCACAAAAAGTGTGAGGAGAGGGGGGAAGAAATGAAGTGTCCATGAAAGCAAAGGCAGGGATCTCCAGGACACCATACCTGCCTCATGGAACAGTCTTCCTAACAGAAGCCTCTGCTTCATATATCCTTGCTAACATGGATAAAAGATATTTCCATTCCTTGGAAATAGTATAGGGAACATATAGGGAGAGTAAGTGATGATATTGAGAAGGCTATCCCAAAATAAATCTCTAACATGGAAGCAGCGTTAGATAGTAGGAGGGTTTGTAGTTAAGAACATTCTGTGCAAATGCCCTACATCAAACGTGGCACTTTATAAAGGACCCTGTCAGTGATATCTTCCAATTGTAATCCTCCTGTATTTTTATCACTGCATCCATCTTAATTACCACAGAAATCCACTTAAGAGCTAGAGAGACTGAATAGTTTGCACAGTGCCTGTAGTCATGCTTTGGACCGATCTCAGCTGATTTATTCTGGCATTAGCAACTACTCCCAAAGAAATGTGATGTATTTTTCCTACTACAAAATAGTGTGGCTGTTCTTCTGGAAAGTACATATGCATTTTACCCTTTCAGGGTGCCCAGTGGGATATCCATGCTGGCTTTCCCTGCCTTAAGCACCAAGCCTTGTGTTGTATTACACAAACAGTCTTTAGCAAAAAAGTTCTCTTCCTCAAACAGTTTCCTTTAATGCATGGGAAAATGGCATTTAGGAAGCATGAGCTCAGAGTCCCATAAGGATGAGATGTGCTGTTCTTTGGATACTGCCCATAGTAAAAAAAAAAAAAAATCTTCACAGAACCCTTTTTTCAACTAACAACAGAAATAAATTAATGTTGGGATTTGTCTTATGAATCAGGATTGCCATGGCCACTGATTACAGTCATGTTGGCAATGCAGGACTGAACTCCACGGTAACAGCAATATACAAAATGAATACGTACTATAGAAAATTCAATGCCTACGAGGTTTCCCGGGAACCTACCAACTGACAATTGTTGTGCATGCAAACATCTGAACAGATAAGCATTTGTGGCTGGGCATATGTAAGTACAATTTAGGTAAAGGCAAAGGTTTCCCCTTGACATTAAGTCTACTCATTTCCATTTCTAAGCCAAAGAGTCTGTGTTGTCCGTAGATGCCTCCTAGGTCATGACTGCATGGAGCACCGTTATCTTCCCACAAAAGGGGTACCTGTTGATCTACTCACACTTGAATGTTTTCAAATTGATAGGTTGGCAGAAGCTTGGGCTAACAACGGGAGCTCACCCCGTCCATGGATTCAAACCACCCACCTTCCAGTCAGCAAGTTCTGCAGCTTGGTGGTTTAACCCGCTGCGCCACTGCGGCCCCTATAATTTGCAATTTACATGTGCATAATTCCCATTTTGGATAGGCCACATAAATGTATTCACCAGCACTTTCACTTTATCACAAAACCTCCCAACATCAAACTCATGGAGAGACTCCCTACTGCTGTGACATACTGATGGGGAGAGCGGAGATTATTTGGACAAATCTAGCTACTAAAAATTTCCATGGCAACAAAAGTCAGACGTACTCATTTGAGAACTTGTCTTTGTTTCTTCCCCATGACCAAGCTGAGACTAATTGCCACTCCATGATCTGGGTCATCTGCCCCTTGAATGACCACACATATATGCACACACAAAGTCCACATTTTTATATGTTCAAAGAAATATTTCAATAGACCTGGTGCAGAATTTTTAAAAAGTCAACTGAACTGTGCCACTTCTGCCCTCTTGTATGCTCTATTTACCCTTTGCTCACCTTTCCGATCACTGCAACTAGTGACCTCCCTTCTGACCTTCCGCAAGAGAGTGAAAATGTGGCTTTGTGACCAAGCCTTTAGAGAACTTGTGCAATAGATAGACTTGGAACAATGTGCAGTGACCATTGGAATGGCCCGGATTACGCTCGTTGATTACATGTTTAACTCTTAATGTATTGTTTTTAAATGTTTCAATTGTTTTAATGTACTTTTTAATTCTTTTTTATTTATTTATTTAAGTGTACATTGTGTATTGGGGCATCAAATTGTTGCCTGTATGTAAAACCGCCTTGAGTCGCCTCTGGGGTGAAAAAGGTGGGGTAGAAAAGTCATAAACAAATACATAAATAATAAATAGTTTGATCTGTATATATGCAGTCTTTCCAGTGGCTATAATTTGATTATCTTCTACTTATTGTCATTATTTTTAAACAGCTAAGCCAGAACTACACATTACTTATTTAATAAACTTGCCCCTTGATTTCAAAAACAATGCCCTAAGCAACTTGGATTCAAAACCCAAAAGAAAACATACAATTAAGGTTAAAAAATCCAATAAAACTAGGGAATAATAAACAGAGAACTAAAATGCTGTTGTTAATAGCAGCTCTATGAATGACAGTCCTCTAAGAAAACAGACAAATGCCCTGTGCAAAGGTCCAAAATTGAGGTTGCATCTAAACTGTGGAATTAATGCCACTTAATGCCACTTTAACTGTCAAAGCTCAATGCTATGGAATCCTGGGATGTATAGTTGGGCTACATACTTTGTAAAACTACAACTACCTGGAGGGAAGGACATTAGAGGCAAAGATGAAGTATTTTGGCCACATAATGAGAAGACAGGAAAGCTTGGAGAAGACAATGATGCTGGGGAATATAGAAGGAAAATTGAACAGGGGCTGACCAAGGGCAAGATGGATGGATGGCATCCTTGAAGTGACTGGCTTGTTGGGCGAGTGGACTTGGGCGGCATGAATCAATGCAGCACTACAGAAGATATAATACCACAGAAAAGGTCTGATCCTCGGTCACGTCCAACTAACCACTGGAGGCACTTGGTGAATGATCATGAAATAAATATTTAACTGTTTTTTTCATGTCTGGTTGCCTCTACATTTGTCATATACCGAATATATATACTTACCAAAAATGCATACTTATTGATCACCTGGATGACAGTCTTAAAGCTGATTTTGCTTGTTAATGTGTGTCCATGATAAACAACAGGATCATTGCATGGTCCATCCCAGCAGTCAATTTCCAAGCAGCGACATCCTTTCATCAGAGCACTTTTAAAAGATGCAGGTGGGGAAAGAGAAATCAGCAGCTGAGAACCTTAAAATGCTAAAATCTGTACATGTTAGTATTCTAGGAGCCCCCGGAGGCACAGGGGGTTAAACCCCTGTGCCGGCAGGACTGAAGACCGACAGGTCGCAGGTTCGAATCTGGGGAGAGGCGGATGAGCTCCCTCTATCAGCTCCAGCTCCTCATGTGGGGACATGAGAGAAGCCTCCCACAAGGATGATAAAAACATCAAATCATCCAGGCATCCCCTGGGCAATGTCCTTGCAGACGGCCAATTCTCTCACACCAGAAGCGACTTGCAGTTTCTCAGGTCGCTCCTGACACGACAAAAAAAAAAGTATTCTAGACATCAGTCAATCATGCAAGTAGATATATTATATATCCAACACAGGCAATTGTATGATATGAAACTGTTCACACTTCAGATTTGTGGCCCCCTCCCACCAAACAAAAAAAGTAAAAATTTGGCTCTTCAAGCAACTTTTGGAAATGCAGCAGAATAGATAAACATGAAACTATGAAGAATGAACAGGGAATGGCTAGATGATGCTACTGGAAAATGATTTTAACAGGACAACACTGGTGATTACATGTTTTTTTAAATGGTTTTTATATTGTTATGCTGATTATTTTGTTCGTATTTTTTATGAACGTATGGCATCAAATTGTTGTCAATCAGTAACCCTCCTTGAGTCGCCTTAGGGCTGAGAAAGGCAGGCTATAAATGCCGTAAATAAGAATAAGTAATAAATCAATAAAGTTACATGATTAGGAGACACGGTAATGAGTTTTCCTCCTCATAGAAAAGCTTACAAAATAGAATGAAAGTATGCATAAATTCTCAATGCATTTTGAAATCATATAATAACATAAGTATCATATCCCATGCCATGCAAACACAACTAAACTACTATATTACAGTGGAATGTGGAATAGTTACCATATCATACTATGCTATACTAGACCATGGATATTCCCATCCAAATATCCATTTATTGTTCTCTTCTTGGAAATGTTCATAATAAAGATATCATAAAACAATTAAGAAAAATACTTTCATCTCCTCAAAATAATTCTAGACAAGTTTTTATGTGTGATCACTTGGCCTGTTTTACTGAATTTAACAAGAGCTTCCAATAATGTTGTTTTCTTCTTATATTCCTCTCGTTTTTCTACTGATTTATCTGTCTTTTTTTCTTACTATAGAAAATCCATTAGAAGAAAAAGATGAAATAACATCACAATGGCTTCTGACTACTACCATGAAGAACCATCCATTCAGAAAGACCCTTAATAACCTTCCGTCATGATGGGACCAAATCAAAAGTGCATTATGTTCTGTCTTACTTTGAACTATTTATTTGGCACTGACTAACTCTGTCATAAAACTTTTCTGAAAGAATTGAGTTTTCCAAAGCAAACCTTTACAGCTGAGAAAACACTGGGCAGTTCAATGTTCCTTTTTGTACATCTCAACTTTGGCAGATACAGCTCAATGTGTTGTTGAAGGCTTTCATGGCTGGAATCATTGGGTTGCTGTGAGTTTTCTGGGCTGTATGGTCATGTTCCAGAAGCATTCTCTCCTGACGTTTCACCCACGTCTATGGCAGGCATCCTCAGAGGCAATGAGGTTGGTGGAAACTAGGCAAGTGGGGTTTATATATCTGTAGAATGTCCAGGGTGGGAGAAATAACTCTTGTCTGTTTGAGGTAGGTGTGAATGTTGCAATTTGCCACCTTGATTAGCATTGAATGGCCTTGCAGTTTCAAAGCCTGGCTGCTTCCTGCACAAGGGAATCCTTTCTTGGGAGGTGGGCCAAACGTCAGGAGAGAATGCTTTTGGAACATGGCCATACAGGCCAGAAAACTCTCAGCAACCCAGCTATAGATCAGTTTGAAGCTTTTTATTTATTTATTTATTTATTTATTTATTTACTTACTTACTTCATTTATATACCACTTTTCTCAGACCTCAGGTGACTCAAAGTGGTTAACAACAGCAAATTTCAATGCAAAAACATCACAAAACGAATATGGGACAGTTAAAAACAGTAGCATCATCAATGATTAAACATCAATATATCAATCATTAGCATCTCATCAGTAAAATCAGAATCCAATCTCATCATTAATTATTCCATATTCCTATATTCAATTACACTGCTTAATCAAATGCTTGTTCGAACAGCCAGATCTTCACTTTCCTCCGAAACGCCAACAGGGAGGGGGCCAATCTGATATCTGTAAGAAGGGCGTTCCACAGCCAAGGGGCCACCACTGAGAAGGCCCTGTCTCTTGTTCCCGCCAGGTGCGCCTGTGATGCAGGCGGGATCGAGAGCAGGGCCTCCCCAGATGATCTTAATGTCCTAGTTGGCTCATAGGAGGAGATGCGTTCGGAGAGGTAAGTAGGGCCAGAACCGTTTAGGGCTTTACAGGCTAACACCAGCACTTTGAATTGTGCCCGGTAGCAAACTGGCAGCCAGTGGAGCTGACGCAACAGAGGAGTAGTATGCTCCCTGAGTGCCGCTCCTGTTAGCAACCTGGCTGCTGAATGCTGGACCATTTGAAGCTTCTGAGCAGTTCTTCATTGCTTACATCAGGGCTGGGCAAAGATTGGTCCACAATGTTGCATGCAAGCCTCATAATTATTTTTATTTATCCTTTATTTAAAGACTAAGAGTTAATGAACCACAATGTCTGGATTGAGTTGGATGATATTTTTAACTTGGCGAACTGTCTTTTATATATATTTTATAACTTATTTATTATGTATGTTGTTTTAAAATGTTATTTATTGTGTAGCATTGAATTTTTGCTGTTGTTAGCCGTTCTGAGTCCCTCCAAGGAGGTAGAGAAGAATGGGATATAAGAGTTCTAAATAAATAAATAGATAAATAAATGTACTCTATTTATCCCCCGCCTTTCTCTACCCTGAAGGGGACTCAAGGCAGCTTACATAGAGGCAATCATTCAATCATCATCATCATCATCATCTTTATTTGTACCCTGCTACCATCTCCGCAAGGGACTCGATGTGGCTTACATGAGGCCAAGCCCAAAATACATCAACCAAAACATCAATAAACACAACATCAATAAAACAATTAATAAAATACAAATCACATAAATCACATGAACAAAAATAATAAACAATCAATAGTGACATATAAACATTTTAAAATGGACAGGCTAAATGTAATAGATTGAAATTGAAAGTATGCTGACATGAACAGAGTAAAATATAACTGGGATAGGATTTTACAGAGAGAAATGAGGGAACACAGTCAATTCTAAATCAGTATTAAAGTGCATTTTGAGGGCATATTGCTGAGAGTTCTCCTTATTCTGGGAAGGCACACTGGAACAACCACGTTTTCAGACTCCTCCTAAAGACTGCCAACGTTGGGGTATGTCTAATGTCCCTGGGAAGTGAGTTCCAGAGTCGGGGGGCCACTACCAAGAAGGCCCTCTCCCTCGTTCCCACCAATCGCGCCTGCAAAGGAGGTGGGAGCGGGAGGAGAGCCTCTCCAGATGATCGAAGAGATCATGTGGGTTCGTACACAGAAATGCGGTCACGCAGGTAGGCGGGTCCCAAACCGTTCAGGGCTTTGTAGGTAAGAATCTGCACCTTGAATTGGGACCGGAAAATGAACGGCAGCCAGTGGAGCTCCTTAAACAGGAGGGTTGGCCGCTCTCTGTAAGAAGCACCAGTTAGTAACTTGGCTGCCACCCGTTGTACCAACTGAAATTTCTGGGCCGTTTTCAAGGGCAGCCCCAGGTAGAGTGCATTACAGTAATCCAATCTGGAGGTACCTATGTGTCAATGACACATAGGTAAGGTAAACGTTTTCCCCTGACATTAAGTCCAGTCATGTCTGACTCTGGGGGTTGGTGCTCATCTCCATTTCTAAGCCAAAGAGCCAGCGTTGTCTGTAGACACCTCCAAGGTCATGTGGCTGGCATGACTTTATTGAGCGCCGTTACCTTCCTGTTATCTACTCACATTTGCATGTTTTCGAACACATACAATTAAACACATACACATGCACGTGCAATTAATTCGAACATGCTTCAAAACATATACAATTCCAAAAAAATAAAATTTAATTAGATTAAAATGAAAACATATTATACATTTTTTGTGGTCCTTAATACCCCCAAGAGACAAAAATTGCCACCCAGTTTTCCCAAATATCCTCCATGGGGCATTTTGGTTACCTTGTTGTCCTTCAAAATGCTATTTCATGAAATTCACTATATTTGTCCTTCTGAAACTTGTTAGCTTTAGTCCTTAGACAGGGCAACTATCTCTGAGAATGTCAACTAGGGTGGTGAATTTTGCCCATTTTAAGTCCTATAGTTTCATGAACTCTTTTTTTGACACACAATTCAGAAAGTTGCTTGTTCTATTTTGCTTCTAAGTAAGCCTATTCCCTGTAGTCACCTACGGATGTGAGAGCTGGACCTTAGGGAAGGCTGAGCGAAGGAAGAGCGATGCTTTTGAGCTGTGGTGTTGGAGGAAAGTTCTGAGAGTGCCTTGGACTGCAAGAAGATCCAACCAGTCCATCCTCCAGGAAATAAAGCCCGGCTGCTCATTGGAGGGAAGGATACTAGAGACAAAGTTGAAGTACTTCGGCCACATCATGAGGAGACAGCAAAGCCTAGAGAAAACAATTATGCTGGGGAAAGTGGAAGGTAAAAGGAAGAGGGGCCGACCAAGGGCAAGATGGATGGATGGCATCCTTGAAGTGACTGGACTGACCTTGAAGGAGCTGGGGGTGGTGACGGCCGACAGGGAGCGCTGGCGTGCGCTGGTCCATGAGGTCACGAAGAGTCGGAGACGACTGAACGAATGAACAACAACAACAAGCCTAACAAATCTCGCAACATGTGAACCTCCCACAGCAAAGCAAAGATATGATGAAACAAATTTATATCAACATCTCAAAGTGTGATATACGTGATAAAGAATACTTCCCTCCCATACCAGAATGGTATCTATGTGTGTATCAGTTTGTGAATCTATAAGAACCCACGTTACTCAAGTTACCTACACATATCCTTCTCTTCAAATCTACACCCAGGTTCATATGTAATATTCAAGTTCAATTTCACATTTCTGTCTATAAGAGCATTTTTTTTCTTTTTGTACGTTTCCAAATAAGACTGTTTAAATGGGGTACAGAAAAAAGGGAAACTGTGCCATTTTTTCGTGTCAGGAGCGACTTGAGAATCTGCAAATTGCTTCTGGTGTGAGAGAATTGGCTGTCTCTAAGGATGTTGCCCAGGGGATGCCTGGATGATTTAGCATCCTGTGGGAGGCTTCCTTCATGTACTCGCATGGGAAGTTAGAGCTGGCAGATGGGAGCTCACCTCGCTTCCCGGAATCGAACCACTGATCTTTCGGTCAGCAGTCCTGCCGGCACAAGGGTTTAACCCATTGTGCCACCAGGGAGTTCCAACTGTGCCACTGAATTCCACATCATAAACTATTCCTTTAAATTCGATGTAAATACCTTGCATAGCCCCACAGATGACTTGGCCCGATTAGCTGATCAGATATGAGGTACGTGTTATGTGAGGATGAAATAAAGTATTCACATAACGGATGGGACATATCTTGGTAAACACTTTGATGCTCAGTTTTAAAAATCATGCAGTCCTCTGAAGTCATGTATCTTAGAAATCCTTCAAATGTCATCTCACAGTTTCTCCTTGCTGAAAACAAGAACATTATGGGGAGAAAGTTACATTTCCAGCATGATTACCTACACAATTGAGCAAAATTTCAAAACATTCTAAGCAGGTAAGAATCCTATTAGTAGATTAACTATGGCCCCTTCCACACAGCTGTATAAAATCCACATTGAACTGGATTATATGACATTGTAGATTCAGATAAACCACTTCAAAGCAGATATTGTGGATTATCTGCCTTGATATTCAGGGTTATATGAAGGTCCTTTGCCTCTGATGTATGTGATGGATTATAAATTGTTGCTTACAAACTGTCTTAATCTTCTCTCCTGTGAAGCTTAGGTTAGCCAAAAGCTTCCGATGTCCTTTGGACTGCTGATACAATAATACTGCTGAATGCAGCAGAAGGGGCTAAGAATGCCTGTTTTGGATGACTAGGCCTAGGATTCCAGACAATATCCAAGCCTCTAATTCACAGTACAAAAAAGGAGTCCAGCAAAAAGCTCTGTGCAGGGGAAAGGAATAGCCCAAGTAAGATTGGCCTCTGGGGGGATATTAAGATCCACCCAAAAATTAATTTAAAGGAAGTTATCTGCACTATTGGGAAGACCTATAAACAGGGGAGAACTAAAACAGAGGAGGGGAAGGCAGAGACAAGACTTCACAAAGACACCCCCTGAAAATGAGTCATAGTGTGTCTTCTTGAGTGTGTCTTCTTAGTGTGTCTTCTTAGTGTGTCTTCTTAAATATAAGACAGTGTCTTTTTTGAGGGGAAAACACAGTAAAAGATTAGAACCTGGAGTCATTGTTCAATGCTTAAACCACTACACCATGCTGGCTCTCTATGACATGTTCAATATGGGCATGTCTTTGTTGAGCATCTGGAAATTCAAACTGGTGGAGAATACAGGCATATGCGATTGCTAATTGAAGCTGACTAGGGAACATATGCCATGCATACTTGCATGCAATTAATAGATAAACAAACACTTGCATGATATGTTTTCTGCAGTCAACCCATTAGCTGTGGCTGTGTTGAAAGGGCAAGAGAATTAAACAAATCCACAGAGGACAATGCTATCAAGGCAACAAATCCCAAATATAATATAACCTCTAAATGCAAGACCTGTAACAACCAGTTGCTTTGAAGAACTTATTTATTTATTCATTTGCAGTACTTATATTCTGCCCTTCTCACCCTGAAGGGGACTCAGGGCGAATTACAATGCACATATACATGGAAAACAGTCAATGCTATTAGACATACAACATATATAGACAGGCACTGAATCCTTGATGGAGTACAGAATCATAGAATCAAAGAGTTGGAAGAGACCTCATGGGCCATCCAGTCCAACCCCATTCTGCCAAGAAGCAGGAATATTGCATTCAAATCACCCCTGACAGATGGCCATTCAGCCTCTGTTTAAAAGCTTCCAAAGAAGGAGCCTCCACCAAACTCCGGGGCAGAGAGTTCCAATGCTGAATGGCTCTCACAGTCAGGAAGTTCTTCCTTGTGTTAAGATGGAATCTCCTTTCTTGTAGTTTGAAGCCATTGTTCCTTGTCCTAATCTCCATGGAAGCAGTAAACAAGCTTGCTCCCTCCTCCCTGTGTCTTCCTCTCACATATTTATACATGGCTATCATATCTCCTCTCATCCTTCTCTTTTTCAGGCTAAACATGCCCAGCTCCTTAAGCTGCTCCTCATAGGGCTTGTTCTCCAGACCCTTGATCATTTTAGTCACCCTCCTCTGGACACATTCCAACTTGTCAATATATCTCTTGAATTGTGCTGCCCAGAATTGGACACAATATTCCAGGTGTGGAATATGCACAGTGTACTTCTTACGCACAGTGCTGGAAGGTTTTATGGTGTCATAAATTTGTTAAATTAGCCTCACTGCATAAAGTGGTACCTGAATTTCCTACTTGACAGAAGCAATTGTCTTTTTGGTGTCATAGGTCAACAGCAAGCTAGACTATTAATGGTCAGGAGCTCACTCCAGCCTGGGCTGGCTTCTAACTCATGACCTCTCTGTCAGTAGTGATTTCATGCAGCTGGCTACTAACTAGCTGCGCCACAGCTCGGTCCAACTTCAGGAAAGAGGACCTGCCTCCAAGTCCTGTTTGTTTGATCTCCAGAAAGAGCTCATTCTACTTTTAAATATATGTGTATTATTACTTTTTTTATTTCCCCCCTTTTCTAAAACCCATAGTGAATGAGGGATTAAGTAAGAACACTTGAGCAATTTTCTAAGGAAGTGTGGTGGGGTTTTTCTTCTCTTTAGTGCATTTAGCATTCAAAGTAGCATGTGGGGCTGGGAATACTGAGAAGGAGGTGCAAAAGGGTGGGCGAGCGTTGTGTTCACAGAGTTGTGAACTGCTTAGCCGTCTTTATTTCTACACAAAACACATTTTATCTTTACTTCTGTTCTTTCCTTTGATCCCAATTATGTCTAAGCCTCACGTTCTTAGGCTGCGAGCCCTTTGGGAAGAGAGAAACTGTATTTTTCAAGGAGAAACGCTGTTCTGTATTTGAGCCCCTGGGATAGACAGGCTGCAGCTAATTAAATAACCCAATTCTCTGCTTTACTGCAAAGTGGCAGGAGAGCATAGGACTGAGGGGTAAGGCCCAGAAAGACAACATAACATACGTCCCCTTACTTCAGTGCTACAAGCAGAAAATAAGCCCAAAAGTCTGTTCAAAAAGTACAGGAAAGCACCCTATTCAGCAATATTGTGTTATAAAGAATTTGGGGTTGTTTCAAATCACAAATGGGGCTGACTGTGTTATTATCATATAACAAATCTGAAAGCTAAGGGGATGGCTTGTTTTCCCAGTCACTTACTTGAAGATGATATCAGTTGAACACCAAAGTAATACAAGACCACAGTAACACAGTGGTTAAAGCCACTAGTTGCAGGAAAGTCAACAGTTCAAAGTCAGGAGTTGGGGTGAGTTCTCGACTGTTAGTCCTAGCTCTTGCCAACCTAGCAGTTCGAAAGCATGCAATATGAGTAGATTAATAGGTACCATCTCAATGGGATGGTAAAAAGGGCACCCCAACTGACATCTTGGCAAAATGATCGGAGAGGTCTATGGACAGTAGGCTCCTTTGGCATGGAAAACAGAACAATAGCCAACAACAATGGCTTCAAACTACAAGAAAGGAGATTCCATCTGAACATGAGGAAGAACTTCCTGACTGTGAGAGCTGTTCAGCAGTGGAACTCTCTGCCCCGGAGTGTGGTGGAGGCTCCTTCTTTGGAAGCTTTTAAACAGAGGCTGGATGGCCATCTGTCAGGGATGATTTGAATGCAATATTCCTGCTTCTTGGCAGGGGGTTGGACTGGATGGCCCATGAGGTCTCTTCCAACTCTTTGATTCTATGGTCCCCATGGCCGGAAGTTGAGCATCGCCTCCAGATGCCTGAAATGGAAAAACGGGAAGGCCTTATCCTTATTTGTGTATTGTATATCTTTGTTCATGTAAAAAGGTATTGAATGTTTTGGTTGTTGTATGTTTTCCGGACTGTATGGCTATGTTCCAGAACACGGAACATGGCCATACAGCCCGGAAAAAAACCCACAACAACCCAATGATTTCGGTCATGAAAGCCTTCGACAATACATTGAATGTTTGCCTGTAATCTGCTCAGAGTCCCTCCACGGAAATAAAGCGGAATATAAATAAAGTGTATTATTATTAATTATTAACTATGAAATGAGATCTTAAGGAGAATAGTGCCTCAAGAAAAAATAAGCATGAAATATACTTTAAAAAAATCAGGCTTTCTAGTACTACATGGACATTATATAAAAATAAAGAAAAACAGGGAAAGGGGAATTGTTTTACCAGGTACACAAGTTAGAGGTTTTCTGACATAAAACGCAAGGATTCTAGCATGAGACACTTTTATTTGAGGCATTCTAGCACTATAGTACTAAAATAACACTACAGAAAAAAAAAGAAAAGTAAGGATAAGTTTTAACAGGTGGAAAACTATAAATTTATTTTTTATTTCATTTATTGTTGTCAAATGAAACACTAAAGAATGAAAATTTTAAAAACATAGTCCATGTCACGGCATACTTAAGGCAAAGCCCCAAAACAAAATTAATTGGAATAATAGGTGTACATATAGATTGGGAATTGAAATGGTACAAAGACAGAGAAAAGGACTATGATCAGATAAGGAGAAAAACAATTGAGTTCCCTTTGGGAAGATTTTTTTTTCCATGTCAGGAGCGACTTGAGAAACTTCAAGTTGCTTCTGGAGTGAGAAAATTGGCCATCTGCAAGGACATTGCCCAGGGGACGCCTGGATGTTTTACCATCCTGTGGGAGGCTTCTCTCATGCCATGCATGGGAAGCTGGACTGACAGACTGGAGCTCACCCCCTCCCCAAAATCAAACTGCTGACCTTTTGATCAGCAGTCCTGCCACCACAACGGTTTAACCCATTGCACCAACGGGGGCTTCTTTTGGGGAAGATAAAGCAGGATAATAATAATAATAATAATAATAATAATAATAATAATAATAATAATGACACTTCATTTATATTCTTCTCTTCTCATCCCAAAGGGGACTCAGGGCGGATCCCAGTACACATACATGGCAAACATTCAATGCCACTTTGTATAGACACTACACAGACAGACAGAACAGAAGGAGGTGGCTTGTTTTGATTCAGTGTCCAGGTGTTTTTGATGCCATGGAAGGTGCTGTTGCTGTATCCTGTATGACAAAGAGCTGTCAGGACTTCCTTCTTCTTTTTGGCTGCCCAGCATTTTCTGATCTTTTTTCTTTATGGCGTCGTAAAACACCTCTTCGCTTTTAGCGGTACCTAATTTCTCTAATTACAGCTAAAGCTGTTTTCGGATTGCTTAGGTAAACAATGAGCTAGGCTGACAGTCGGCAGCTAATGGCAACCTGGGGCTTCGAACTTGCAACCTTTTGGTTGATAGATCTTATAATTGCTGGTGGTTTACCACCTGTGCTAAACCTCCAGCCCATTCCAATAATAATTGGAATTATTGGGGGAAACACTAATAGAATAATCATTTAGCTCAAAAATAAATGCTGTGAAAATACCATACTCTGATGTATTTGGGCAGTCTGTATAGTACTGCAAGTGTCTACACAGTTAGCCCTCTGTATCCACAGAGTCAACCATCCATGACTTGAAAATATTCCCATAAAAATCCAAAAGGCAAAATGATTTTGCCATTTTATGCAATGGAGACATTTTACTACACCACTGTATTAAATGAGACTTGAGCATTTTGGTATCTATGGGGGTCCTGGAACCAAACCCCACTGGATACCAGTGGTCTACTTTATATATAAAAAAATTGTATTTTGTCATAATAACTGTAGTATACAGCGACCCTCTTGGATAAGCACTGAGGTGGGATTTGGTGACCATTCTTACATCTACAATAACAGAATGGTTGGCCAACCAAAACGAAGCAGTTCATAGTACTTACATACAAGGACCATACCCTATCCTCATTAAAAGAATGTAGGGACTTATCCACTGATGTAACTGGTTGAGGGCAACATGTAGGCAATGCTATATCCAAATTGAGATGAAATTTAGTAACTAGTTTTGGAAGGAAGGTGTGGACTACCTTCTCAAGGTGAAAGACCAAAAAAGGTTCATCTCCTTGTTGGAAACGGCTCCAAAGTCTCTGACTTTTCTCTCCTCATCTGAACCTTTAGCTTTTGTGATGTGCTTTCACGTTCCTAAATCAAATGCTGTTTCAAGAGACGTGCAGCAAGTGACCAACTGAGTTTGCACTGTCTTATCCCACTTGCTCTGTATGTGTGTGCATTTTGCATAAAAGTGCCCCTCAGTCTCATGTTTTACATCAGCTGCAAAAATGAGGCTGCAACCATTATTTTTCTTTCCGTCCTCTCTGACTACTGTGAATAATTCATCTCTCTCTTGCGCTCCTTCCATATAATATCCAAAAAGGTATTGGTAGTCAGCTTTTCTTCCCTGCTGTCTTTTCCTTTGACTTTCCTGACCTGTTCTTGCAAAGTGTGCCTTCTGTTGTGTAAAAATATCTTTGTGTACCCTGAACTTTTCCATGCCAGACTTCTTTAAAACTCCAAAATGCACTGTAAACTGGTTCAAAACAATTTAACTTTCCGTATTAAGGGAAAAAAATCCTTGGGATAACAAAATAAACGAATGGAGTGGCAAACAATATATATGGCATGGCAGATGAATGATCCAGCCAGTCAAGTATACTGAGATCGACATACCAGGAAGAGTATGAATGAAGACACGAAGACTTTATCCCATTCCTTTGACGATCTCTCTAACAAATCTAACCACCAAGCAATCCATTTTTAAGATGGATGCCTCCATCACTCTAATTAACTTGATTTTTTTCTGAGTGTATAATCACATATTTCCAATATCTTTCTGTGCATGCAAAGGATAAGGCTGCAGTTCGGAGTAAACTGAATGTGACTTGTTTTTGAGCAGTTCTTTATAGGATTGCGCTACATCTCCTTCTCTTATATTACCTGGAAAGGTTAAATTGTTAACAGAGTATTTCTCCTTGCCAACGTGGAAATGGTCTCATTATTTTATCCTTGTCTCACCTAAGAATGAATTATATGATTGATAGAGCCTTCCTTATCTCTTGCTAATCTACTCGTTTTTCTGAAGACACCTGTAATACTACATAACTTCTAAAAACATTTTGTCTGAGGGACAGATGTAGAATTATATTTTTAATCTCTATTTCATCAGTGGATTTTAACTTGTATTTTAACTCTATGAATCTTGTTGTATGTGTTTTAATAGTGTTTTATCTCTTGTTTTAATGATGTTGTACCCTGCCTTGAGCTGCAGGAATAGCCATGTAATAAATTTATTATTATTATTATCATCATCATCATCATCATCATCATCATCATCATCATCATCATCATTATCACTATTATTATTTAAAATACTGATTAGTTGAGTGAATGGGAGATGTTGATGGCATATTTATTTTATTTCCTCTTCTTTCGCGCCACCTGCCACTCCTTCCCTGTCGCTAATCAGCCCTGCTTCCTTGGATAGACCACATCAGCTCACAATTATTAAATATGGTTTTCTGTGTGTGAGCAGATGGCGGCTGCTGGATGGCATATGTTCTGTATTAGAAACTAGAGCTGATGTGGTCTATCCAATGCCATTTTTTGAATCACCACCCCAAATAACCTAACCAAATCTAAAGTTCACCAAAAACTGATTTGTAACCTTTTTGGTACTAATGTTGGAGAGTGGTCCCTGGTCAAGTGGTCCCTGCTCAAAAAAAGTTTGGGAACCACTGATGGATGGATGGACAGATGGATGTGTGTGTGTGTGTGTGTGTGTGTGGCATGTAGCCGAGGGGGGGGGGAGACTTGAGGGGCTTTACACACACCCTCCCCCCTGAAATTCTCAGGGTGGTCCACGAGAAGGCCTTACTGGTACATTATTTAAACTGTCTGTTATGTTTATTCATATCATGATCTGATCACCATGATCAATATGTCCTATATGTATGGGGGTATTGGGATAACGTTACAAAAGGTTTGCTGGGGTAGATCCTCAGCCCTCCTCCCCGAAAGCAAACTCAGCCCCCCAAAACAAAATCCTGGCTACGGGTCTCTGTGTGTGTGTTATATATATATATATATATATATATATATATATATATATATATATATATATACACACACACATACACACACACACACACACACACACACACTTTTCACTGGAGTTACACTTAAAAATACACCTGTTCTGACTTACATACAAATTCAACTTAAGAACAACCCTACAAAACCTTTCTTGTCTCTTACTTGTGGACTGACTGTATTAGACTACATGATCTGGAAAAGATTATGAAACATAACTATAATTTCAACAATATGTTAAGTGATATTGCATGTCCTTTAAATCGCATTTCCACATTGATTTGCTTTTTAAAGTCTCATTGAATTCATTAAAAAGTACAGGATCTGACAGCACATATTCAAAAACAAAAACACCTTCCAATAAATAGTTAATACTGTTGAAATTAGACAACGAAAGGGCTAGTTACCTTCTTCAATGGGCTCAAACTTTGCAATGAGATGAGAAGCAGTTGTTTCATCAGCTTCCAGTTCAAACTGCTCATTTCTAAGAAATTCAACCAGATTTGATAGCAGGAGAACTTTGTGGTTTGGAGAATGAGTTTTGAAGAGTTCATGAATTTCGCCTCTGTGTGCTATGGCCTGATAAATTCCTTTAAAATCCTCTAAATTGATCGTTCCAGATTTCAATGAATTACTTGCCTATTTGGAAAGAAAAAAATGTATATTACACCATTAATGGAAAAAGTAAACAAGGACAATTCTTTGAAAATTGTATTTTCCTTTATTTTTGAAATAATTCAAAATAGGACTACATAACTGTTTCTAAATAGATGTAATTTGAATGCAAGTCACTAGATCAGACTGGAGTTGAATGTGTAAGGCCCATGTATCTAATTAATTAAAAAAAACCTCACAGTAATACGCCAGATTCATCAACCACTATGCAAGCTACTTTGGAAAGAGTATGGCAGATCTATGATAGAGTTTCCGTATCATCTGCTTGCTGCCACTTCTACTACTGAATACATTCTTAACATGAGACTTATGTGAGTCACTGTATTTGTTGTTATATGCATTCAGGTCAATTCCAATTTGTGGCAATCCTATCATACAATTTTCTTAGCAGGATTTATTCAGAGGAGGTTTGCCTTTCCTTCCTTTTGGCCTATAAAAACCCACTGGGTTTCCATAGCTCAGTGGTCCCCAACCTTTGGTCCTCCAGGTGTTTTGGACTTCAACTCCAAGAAATCCCAGCCATTTTACCAGCGGTTAGAAATTGGGGGAGCTGAAATCCAAAACACCTGGAGAACCAAAGGTTGGGAACTACTGCTATTGCTGAACTGGGACAAACACTGGCCTCTGGAGCTGTAAGGTAGATCTACACTGTAGAATGAATGCAGTTTGACACCGCTTTGACTGCTACAGCTGAATGCAATTTGTACCTTGGAAGAAAAGGTCAAACTTGTCAAACTACAAATCCCAAGATCCCATAGTAGTGTGTTAAGGTGTTGCCAAATCACATTAATTCTATAGTGTAGATCACTGGTTCTCAACCTTCCTAATGCCGCGACCCCTTAATACCGTTCCTCATGTTGTGATGACCCCCAATCATAAAATTATTTTTGTTACCACTTCGCAATTGTACTTCACAAATCGTAATGTAAATATCTAATATGCAGAATGTATTTTCATTCACTGGACTAATTTTGGCACAAATATCCAATACGTCCAAATTTGAATACTAGTCGGGTTGGTTGGGGGGGACTGATTTTGTCACTTGGGAGTTGTAGTTGCTGGGATTTATAGTTTACCTACAATCAATGGGCATTCTGAAATCCACCAATGATAGAATTGAACCAAACTTGGCACACAGATATCCCATGACCAATAGAAAATACTGGAAGGGTTTAGTGGGCATTGACCTTGAGTTTTGGAGTTGTAGTTCACCTACATCCAGAGAGCACTGTGGACTCAAACAATGATTGATCTGGACCAAACTTGGCACAAGTATTCAATATGCCCAAATGTGAACACTGGTGGAGATTGGGGGGAAAGTAAACCTTGACATTTAGGAGTTGTAGTTGCTGGGATGTATAGTTCACCTACAATCAAAGAGCATTCTGAACCCCACCAATGATAGAATTGGGCCAAACTTCCCAAACAGAACCCCCATGACCAACATAAAATACTGTGTTTCTGATTATCTTTGGTGACCCCTCTGACACCCCACTCACGACTCCCCCCCCCCAGGGGTCCTGACCTCCAGTTGAGAAACACTGATGTAGATGAACACTTAGGCCAACTCTCAAAGTACTACATTAAACTCAATAATGATCCAGGGGCTACGCAAGCAGCCTCAGATCACATCTGAAGTCAGTGAGAAGATGGTAAACAAGTTCAGCTTGTCAAACCATAAATTCCACTTTAAGCCATGCTTCAAAAATAACAACTTGCAGATTAATATTGCTTATCAGCCTATCCAATTATACAAATTTTCTCACCTTAAAAATGTATTTCACATGAATGTAATCAAAGGGGATGTCAAATTTACCAAGCAATTCCAAGGTACTATCAAAACTAATCTTCCCTTTTTTAAACTTCTCCTGGATGACATTTAGAAACCATGTGAATGCAAAGCCAGTTAAGGAAATCGACAATCTATATAAATAACCTTTCTCTTTCCCTTTTCCATGCCAAACTGCACTTGATAATATATTTATCATATTCATTCTCTCTCTCTCTCTCTCTCTCTCCTTCTCTTTCCCCTCGCTCTCTCACACACATGAGATGCCTAGAATATAAATATCTATTGGAAGACAGCCAAGAATCTTGTTTTACTACCTACACCAGTATTTTATATCTTGTTTTAGTGTTGCGTTTACAAAGGGGATAGGAATGGGCACAGCAAATGTAAAAGAGTTCAGTTCCACAGACATAATGATTTTTTTTCCACTGGAGGTTGCCATATACAAAGATCAACTGGAAGCGCCTCCTGGGCATTCTTCCAAAAGCCTTATACAGTATTCCCTAAAACAGGGGTAGGGAACCTTCGGCCCTCCAGGTGTGGTGGACTTCAACTCCCACATTCCTTGAGGCTCGTGTAAGCCTTTGGGGCGAATGCCGAGCCTCAAGGAATTGTGGGAGTTGAAGTCCACCACACCTGGAGGGCCGAAGGTTCCCTACCCCTGCCCTAAAAGATAGCCTTATTATATTTTTTTTTTAAAAAAATACACATTAAAGTCAGGAAAACACAGGAAAAGCACTCAAAAGTGAGAAAAGCTCCTTGGGGCATTTCTTTCCAAAGAAATTGACCATTGTGGAGTATAATAACTTTGTATTGTCGAAGGCTTTCATGGCTGGAATCACTCGGTTCTTGTGGGTTTTTTCGGGCTATTGGGCCATGTTCTAGAGGCATTTCTCCTGACGTTTCACCTGCATCTATGGCAAGCATCCTCAGAGGTAGCGAGGTCAGGCGAAACGTCAGGAGAAATGCCTCTAGAACATAGCCCTATAGCCCGAAAAAAACCACAAGAACCGTATAATAACTTTGTTTCCCAGACTTTCAATGGCAAACATCCTGTTATAGCAGTGGTTCTTAACCTGTGGGCCACGGACCACCAATAAGCAGTGAAGACAAAAATCTGGTCCGCAAGCCTCCCTCTTTATTTATTTATTTAGTTTTTTATTTGCAATCCTTTTACGGTGCCTGTCACTCTTTCCCTGTCGCTGACCAGCTGCAACGCCTTGGATAGACCACATCAGCTCTAGATTATTAAATATGGTTTTCTGTGGGCAAGCAGATAGTGACTACTGAATGGCATACGTTCTGTATCCGAAACTAGATCTGATGTGGTCTGTCCAATACCATTTTCTGAATCAGCACTCCAAATAACCAAACCAAATCTAAAGTTGACCAAAAACTGATTCATAAGCCTTTTGGTACTAATGTTGGAGAATGGTCCCTGGTCAAAGTGGTCCCTGGTCAAAAAAAAGTTGGGAATCAGTGTGTATCTCTTTGGCCAGTTCCTCCAATGTGGTTGACAAGGGTCTACTGTGCCTCAATCCATAACCAATTCTTTTCCAAACACTTCCACAAGTGTTTGGAAACACTTCCACAAAAAGGAGCTCAACCTTCATATCTGAAATAACTCAGATATTAACTATTTAGTCATCTTAATTGGAATCAAAGGAAATCAATCTCATAAACATAGCAAATGGGATAGGGTATGTTTGATTATATATGTACGTGAAGAGAGTGTAAGTACACATACATAGATATATACTGTACATACACAGACTTCTTAGGAGACAAGATATCTAGATAAACACACGCACCCTATTTTGATCTAAGGATAGAAAAGAGTTAGAGTGTGTATATGTGTGTGTATATAATATGTATAATGACCAGTTCTCTCATATAAATATATATGTACAAAATGTGAGAAAAATCAAGAAGGGGCCCTATATTTACTGTGAATTAGAGGGGTGTAGTGTATGTATGTGTAGTGTATGTATATATATAAACTAGCTGTCTCCTGCCACATGTTGCTGTGGCCCAGTCTGTGTATATGTTTTGTGTATGTAAATGTGTGTGTATATATGTGGTTTTGTGCATGCGTTGTAATGTAATTTTTGTTTTTTGGCCTTTTAAGTCCCTTCCGTTGTGTTTTTCAGTGTTTTATGAGTGATGGTCACTCATTGGCCTGATAGGTGTATTGTGTCCAAATTTGGTGTCAATTTGTCCAGTGGTTTTTGAGTTATGTTAATCCCGCAAACTAACATTACATTTTTATTTATATAGATTTAAGTGGCTGAGGGGGGAAAGGAAGGGGCGTAAGGCTGTGAGGAATGGTGGGAGTTGAAGTCCAAAACACCTGGAGGGCTCAAGTTTGCCCATAACTAGACTATACTCATAATGCTCTGGAAAGAATGTGTTTCCAGGAAAGCAATGCAAAGAGAGAGAGAGAGAGAGCATAAAGACTCTAATACAGGCATGAGCAAACTTGGGTCCTCCAGGTGTTTTGGGTCTCAACTCCCACAAGTTTCCAAAGCTTAAGTGGCTGAGAGGAGAAAGGAAAGAGCCTGAGGCTGTTAGGAATGGTGGGAGTTGGAGTCCAAAACACCTGGAGGGCCCAAGTTGGCCCATGCCTGCTCTAATACGAGCCTTAAACTCCCATCCTGAGGAGGAAGTTGGGGGGGGGGGCGTCTGCACTTTCCCCGAGAAGGCTTTCCTCCCAAACTCCTGGGTCTTCCTTTAAGGAAGCGAGTCCCTGCTCCCTTTTGCGGCTTTCGCCGGGAATCCCAGGCGCGATTGTGCGTCCTTCCCTTTCCTCCCTCCGCACGATGCCCGCTTTCTCGAGGAGGAAAGGCAACAGGGGATATCTGGCTTCCATGGCGCCCTTCCCTCATGGTCCTGGGGGCCACGGCATGGCCCTCCTGCCCGGCCCCGCTCCGCCCGGGGGGCTCCCGGAGGGGCGCCGCTTGGCATCCCTTGCGAGGAAGAGGAAGAGAACGAGGAGAGAAGGAAGGAGACCGAGCTCGGCTTCTGTGGCGTCACCAGCAGCGGCCCTTCTCAGCCAACCGTCCGCTGGGCTAGCCTTCAGGACCCCAAGAAGAAGAACAACTACTACCACCACCACCACCATCATGCATAAAGCAACCAAAACAGGCTGTCCTGCCAAAGGTAGAATTCACTGCTGCTTCTCCATGCTGTGAAACCTTGGGAGTTAGGTGTAGTTTTTCAACAACTTAGAATCATAGAGTTGGAAGAGACCTCATGGGCCATCCAGTCCAACCCCTTGCCAAGAAGCAGGAATATTGCATTCAAAGCACCCCTGACAGATGGCCATCCAGCCTCAGTCTAAAAGCTTCCAAAGGAGCCTCTACTACACTCCAGAGCAGAAAGTTCCACTGCTGAACAGCTCCCACAGGAAGTTCTTCCCAATGTTCAGATGGAATCCGCTTTCTTGTAGTTTGAAGCCATTGTTCTGCATCCTAGTCTCCAGGGCAGCAGAAAACAAGCTTATTATTATTATTACTTTATTTGTACCCCGCTAGCATCTCCCGAAGGACTCGATGCAGTTTACATAGGCCAAGGCCTCAAAACACAGTACAACAATACAATACCTAAAGCAAATTAAAAACAGTTAAGCAGAATAAACAACAGCAATAACAATACATCGAGACATCAAGACACTATAAGACTGGACCAGGCCAGAGAAATGGGTACAAGATTAAAAGTGCTGATGTGGCAGGAGGTATGTAGGATTATAAAGTAAGTGCAGTGTGCAGTGTGCAGTAATCTTGGTTCTACTAAAGTGCTTCTAGGACTTGGTATTGGGGGTTCCTAATCTGAGAAGGCACATCGGAACAGCCAGGTCTTCAAGTTCTTTCTGAAGACTGCCAGCGAAGGGGCCTGTCTAAGATCTTTTGGGTGGGCGTTCCAGAGTTGGGGGGCCACCACAGAAAAGGCCCTGTCTCGAGTCCCCACCAAGCGCGCTTGCGACGCGGGCGGGATCACGAGCAGGGCCTCTCCAGATGACCGGAGTGAACGTGTGGGTTCGTAAATGGAGATGCGGTCACGCAGGTAGGGTGGTCCCAGACCGTTCAGGGCTTTGTAGGTAAGCACCTGCACCTTAAATTAGGCTCGGAAAATAAACGGCAGCCATTGGAGCTCCTTAAACAGGAGGGTTGACCTCTCTCTGTAACATCCTGGCTGCTGCCCATTGGACTAGTTGGAATTTCCGAGCCGTTTTCAAGGGCAGCCCTACATAGAGCACATTGCAGTAGTCCAATATAGAGGTGACCAAGGCATGGACCACCCCGGCCAGATCAGCCTTCGCGAGGTACGGTCGCAGCTGGCACACAAGTCTCAATTGTGCAAAAGCCCTCCCGGACACCGCCGACGCCTGGGCCTCAAGCGTGAGTGATGCGTCCAAGAGGACTCCCAAACTGCGGACCTGTGGCTTCAGGGGGAGTGTAACCCCGTCCAGCACAGGTTGCCACCCTATACCCCGATCCGGTTTGTGATCGACCAGGAGGACCTCTATCTTGTCGGGATTGATCTTCAGCTTATTCCTCCTCATCCAGATAGACACAGCGGCCAGGCACTCGTCCTTGCTCCCTCCTCCCTTTGACTTCCTCTCATGTCTCCTCTCAGCCTTCTCTTCTGAAACCTAAACATGCCCAGCTCTTTAAGCCGCTCCTCATAGGGCTTGTTCTCCAGACCCTTGCTCATTTCAGTCGCCCTTCTCTGGACACATTCCAGCTTGTCAATATCTCTCTTCAATTGCGGTGCCCAGAATTGGACACAATATTTCTGCCTTGGTTAGACCACACCTGGAATATTGTGTCCAATTCTGAGCACCACAATTCAAGAGGGGAAAATAGATCTTGACATTTGGGAGCTGTAGTTACTGGGATTTATAGTTCACCTACAATCAAAGAGTATTCTGAACCCCACCAATGATAGAATTGGGCTAAACTTCTCACACAGAACGCACATGACCAACAGAAAATACTGTGTTTTCTAATGGTCTTTGGCAACCCCTCTGCCCCCCCCCCCCACCGCCCAGGGGTCCCAACCCTCAAGTTGAGAAACACTACTCTTTAGCTACCTGGAATCCCACTATTTTTTAAAAGTTTAGACAAAAACAATTTATCCWCCCAAAAGTGACAAAAGGCAATCTCATTGAATGTCTCTCTCCCTTTATGAACACYCAGC